CAGCTTCTCAGGTGACATTTTAAAAAACTTTTAATCTGGAAGTTACAATTCCAAATAGGACTTAAGAGAGGTACTATGACGAGAGATGTGATAATGGAGGAGGAAAAGAGGATGATGGATGCGAACCCTCCTTTTTGTCATGTGACATGCCAGTTGTGGAAAGGCAGCAGAAGCCATTTTATATACATTAACCTGTCACCATGCCAACACATCTTTCTCAATCATCCTTGTCACTATCAGTGGCGGATGGCTTCATTTGTGCTTGTTAATGACTATGAACGCGTCAATGTTTAATCTAACCTGGCGTCATGGTCGGAGGTTTTCTTTGGGCTACTTCCAGGAAGTGGGAAGTTTTGTTCAAATGTTTTCCCTTTTTTCTTTTTTTATTGCAAGCTGTGATAAACATGGAAAAACAGAGCCATGAAATTTCTCACTGGTTACAATCTGGACTAAACGTTTTTCTTATCCTGTTGTCGTCTTAAATGGACTGTGTTTGATCTCTTCACTAAATACAACTTTTCACCTTTGTTTTTTTTTAATGACTTAAATTGTGTCTTGACAACATTGTTCTGTAAACCAGTGAAATCGCATGTTTAATAGATTCATTTATCAACCTAGCGCACCTTAACCGACTGGAAGTTTGCTTGGTGATGTCTGGAACAGCACTGCGATCAATTCACCAGTCTGTCGAGCACTCAACGGTTTAGAAATGATAAATATTCGTAGTTTCATGATTCGTTATAGCTTGCATGTGTCCACAGAGTTCAGAAACTCTCAAATCTATAGCATCATATATTATTATAATGTCAGGCGTATATAATAGATAAGACTGTATCCTTCACTATACCTAATATTTTTGTTATCTTTGGGAAAAACAATGTATGATACCTCAAAAAAAGTAAAAGTGTCCTTGGTTAAATATAGGACTTTTAATAATTCTGTGTATTTTAACAACAACAACAACAAAAAACCTTCTAATAAATATACAGTTGACTCTTTTTTTTTTTTATGTATTTAGCCTTTTATTAATATTGTCATTATTGTGCCACTGATTTTTTTGCCTTTTTTTTTTGTTTTGTTTTTTTGTTTGCTCAAACACCATAAAGGTAGACCTCAAGATATCTAGAAGCTTTCTAGTTCATTGCACATGAGCTTGAAGTGCTGGAACAAATTAAATAAATGTTGCCCATAGCCGTCTTGTTCAAATTTTAGATAAAGGTATTCATACTGAAATATTAATCTTACATCTTAATGTGTACAGAAATGGTCACTTCAAGTAGTCATTTCTGAAATTGAATTGAATTAAAGAAATGTTAAAGATGTATAAACAGAAGTATTGGAAGAATTATATAGAGTTGTTTAAATAAAATGAATGAGAATGTACTGTTATATTTTACTGAAAGTGTTGTACCCAGAATTTATACATTAAAAAGATTAAACACACATTGGACTTGTTGTTCTGATTCTACTTTACCCACAAGCCACGTCATTTCCATTCTGAAGCACAAGACTGATCAGGACACACTTTCCCACACACTATGTACTTACACATTTGCTACACTGAATGCTCTGAGGTCAGCTTAGCTCAAAGGTAATGGCTTTGAGAAACTTTAACTTCTGTGTGTCCTCACAGCATTCTCAGCATGATACAATCACAGAGCCTTCATCCATAGTAAAACATGAGAGGTCCTTGCATCTGTAGTATGTTTTCTAGAGCTGGACTGAGGTTATAGATCAGTAAGAGTCTGTTAATAGGTGACTGGTGCAGCACTAATGGCCTTCAGGTCTGTAGCTTTTCCAAAACTCAAATGCTGAATGCCTATCTTTCCCATCTCTCCGTGACTGCTGCCTATTTACTCATGACCTGCTGGAAAGTATGTGACTTTGTGCATTACATATATTGTTTTTGTGAGTTAAGGGCTATTTTTGTACTTTATGCATCAAGATATTTCTAGGAAGAAAGAATGATTAAGTAACAAGAATGTGCATTCACAGTCTGGAGCATATAAATGGTTAACCAGCTGAAGAGTATTATTAGTCTGGATATGTTTTGGGATTTGTGAATCATTAACTCAAGCCCACACAGACTTTAAAGAGCTGTGAATGCTCAGTCACACAGCAGCACATTTATTCAGCTGGACCTTTGGTGTTGATCAGTTGTGTTTGGCTACAAGGAAACTGAATTTAGGTTTTTAGTTAATTCACAAATTGTGCTTTTCTATATTGGCTATACTTTATGTACACTACTGTTCATTTAGTGTCAGTGTTTAGTTTTTTTTTAAAGAAAAATTACACAATATATTATACAAAATTATAAAATAAATACTGTTCTTTTGAACTTTCTGTTCATCACAAAAGATTGTATCTCAGTTTCCACACAAACCGTTTGTTCAACTGTTTTCAAGATTGATAAGAAATGCTCCTTAAGAACCAAATCGGCATTATTAGAGTGATTCTGATTCGTGTGACACTGAAGACTAGAGTAACGGCTTCTGAAAAAGCTTTGTCATCACAGGAATAGATGACATTTTAAAGTATTTTAAAATGGAAAATAATTTTAAATGAATTTCACAATATTACCGTTTTACTGTATTTGATCAAATAATTGCAGCCTTCTTTCAAAAGAAATGTAAAAAAATCTTAACAACCCTAAACTTTTGAACAGCAGTGTATAATTACAGTTTTAAGACACTCGTAAAACCCTCTTGTAAAAAAAGGGAAAATCCTCATTATTTGGAGTTTTAATAACCACATTTGCATCGGCATAAAAGTCTGTGCTCCTTTCATTTCTTTGATCTTTTTGGCTTCTATCGTTTATTACTAAACAACACAAGTCAGGGCTCTCTAAACGCCAGATACCCAAATGTTTATGGCTCGCCAAACCAGATACGATTCTCTTTTATCCCAAACACTGGTGTCAGTATTGCCTCTTGTACTGTTAAAAGAAACCTTTGCTTTTAGCAATCAAAGATCCAAGCATCAATTTAACCAAGACTGAATACAAATAATAAAACTGTTTTTGCTGTATCAAAACCAGACAATGAAAGAGACAAAAAGACAAACTGATGAATTTTGAAACAGGACTAAAATCTTTTGAGGTAAATATTTTAGGTCATTTAATGGTTCTATATGATGTTATAGCCAATCAAAGGTTGCTTATTTTCATCCTCGCACTCATTAAAAGTGTCATTGGAATATAATGGTTCATAACATCTGTATCTTAATTGTGTTTTAGTATTTGCAGAATTGTACAAACCTCACCATTCCCGATATCTGATCTCTTTGGATTTCGGAACAATATAGCAGTCATACACACTTCAGGACACATCTTACTGGCCAGTGAGGGCTGGAGGGTTATATAAGAGGCCCTACGGAATGGTTATCCACAAGACAGAAATGTCAACAGATTACATCGCAAGTCTTATGATCAAGCACATTGTTTTTATTTTCCCCTGGTTCATGTGACAATTTTGTCCTCTGGTAAAAGCAGAAAGAATGGAATATAAACAGCATATTCACTGTGAATGTGCACTTAATGTAGTCATAATGTCATTAGAAAACCAGTTCCTGTCAATAACATTTACTCATTAACAGGTTTAAAAGAAATGATTCTGACCAATACATAAAGTTCGAACCAATGCATACTTGGTAAAACATTTGGAAATACTCAATGACCTTCATAAAGAAAAAAAAAAGAAGAATTTCTTGTATTAAGGGGGTTACATTCATTTTTCTGAAAAACATTTCTTCACTAATGTATAGAAATGTCTGCATGAGATGAGCGTCATACGGTACAGCTAAGTTAGCAGGGTTCTTTTCATCAGGCCTCTGATAGTTAACCAGGACTAGAGCATAACCTCTGAGCATAGAGCATCAACTACCATCACTGGCCTGATTCTTCAACACGCTACTGCTTTTAAAATATACAAAGTGCAACAACAGCATAAATATATAGTATATGGAGAAATCTCATGAATGGATCGTATTTCAAAATCTAAAGAAAAAAAATTATATTTGGCATACATGAAGCTACCACTGAAGATGCTTTGCATTAAGCATTTCCCCTTCAAATTAACTTTAATGTAAAAATCTCAAGATATATTGTTTATAATGTAATTATACATTTAAATATTTAATTACAAAATTTAAACAGTCATCTACAATGCAGAATAAACATGCATTTTATGCAAAATATAATTTCACACTTTATTTTTGGTTGAAATATGTTTTCATGAGATTCACCCACAATTCTTGCTGTATATTTATGTGTAAAAATAAAGCGCATGTCATCCTACAGCTCTATGAGGGTATTGATGATGTATTCACAGTGTAACAACAAGCAAGAAATAGCATATTGATCTGTTGAGATTGAATAAACTTGATGTCACTGTATTAAGCAGTTTGATCATATAATCATACAACGTCTCTAAAAGTGCATTAAGCACAGAAGTAACCCCACACCAGCACACTGGCTTATTTGTTTTTCACCACCTCTTTGTATAGAAAATGTATGAAAATAATTATGAATGATTTAGCCCCACCTCCAAACAGTTGCTACAGAAGAAGAGTACTTTCATTATGTTATGGAGCAGAAATATGACCCTGGACCACAAAACCAGTCATAAGGGTCAATTTTTTTAAATTGAGATTTATACATCATCTGAATATAAATAATCTTTCCATTGATGTATGGTTTGGACAATATTTGGCCAAGATACAACTATTTGAAAATCTGGAATCTGAGGGAGCAAAATAATCAAAATATTGAGAAAATCACCTTTAAAGTTGTCCAAATGAAGTTCTTAGCAATGCATATTACTAATCAAAAATTAAGTTTTGATATATTTACGGTAAGAAATTTACAAAATATTTTCATGGAACATGATCTTTACTTAATATCCTAATGATTTTTGGCATAAAAGAAAAATCTATAATTTTGACCCATACAATGTATTTTTGGCTATTGCTACAAATATACCCCAGCGACTTAAGACTGGTTTTGTGGTCCAGGGTCACAAATAATATTTGACGATAAGAAATGGAGCTTATTTCATTATGATGCTGTGTAGACAACAGCACTGAGGAAAATCACGCAACAGTCCTTTCAGTTTGGTCTGAGAATTGAGTTTGTCCATGACCTTCATTTGCTCAAGTAAGTCTCATAAGTGGTTTGTTTTTGTTGTGTAAACAAGCAGCAGTTCCTGTTATCAAGGCTTCATTTGATTTTTTTCCATTCAAAATAAAAGTACCTACAGACTGTCTACAGGAAAGCTTCATGAGCGCTATTATTTGGCTGTATTCAAATATTGAGGGTGAGCGAGAGAGTGAGTATGGAAATCTCCCATGTAGTCACCATTAACTAGTGAGCCACCTGACGTCACTCAGAATCCTCTCCCGCAGTTGCCGCATCCAGAGCGGCCAAGGCCTCTGCCACCATTGAGTCTGTGACGCTCACACAATCCATCTCTTTCGCTCTCTCTTGCTCTCCTCTCTCGATCGAGGGCTCTTCCTTTTCTCTGTCCTCTATCATGAGCTTTGCGTCTGCTGAGGAGAGGCTCGTACTGCTGGTGTGTATATCCACAGACAGCACACTCTCCTCATCGGCCGTGTCCGGAGTACTGGCTAGCCTGCTCTTCCTGTCCTCGTCTTCATCTTCCTGTCCATAGGGATATCCATCCGATCCTTCTGTCCCGTCTGTTACGCCCAGCCCAGAGTCTCGGAATCTGTCCTCTCGCTTGCCCGGTTCCGTTCCCAACAACGGCTCGTTCTGTATGGGCGGATTGATGCGTAAGGTGGGGGCGACTTTTATGGGCGTCCCCTCGCCCTCGGGCTGGAGGATGTAAAGGCTTGGGTCACCCTCCGCTGGGCTCGATCGGATCTGCTCGCCTGGAATGTTAGCATGGAGCCGGTTGATGTGGTTGTTGTCGATGTCGAGTTTGGTCGGGCTGGGATGGGTGCTGTATGCTAGGTTGTGGAAGCCCTGCTTCTTGGGAATGTGGTCTGCCTCCTCTGGGAATCGGTGAGATTGATATAGAGAGCTGCTGGTGGGGTCCCGCTTCCGACCAGGAACTTCTACAGGGACTGAGGGGTCATAGATGTAACTGTAACAGAGAGGCAGTTGAGAAGAGGGTTTAATGGAATGAACTTTTGATGGTCTTTTTGGTGCAAATAATCATTAAAACCCAATTAAGATTCAAATAAAGCTCAAACATCACAAATAATTCTGAAGCAGAACTAGTGGTTGACCAATACATTGGCCTTAACGATATTTGCATGTTTTAATTAACATATCAACTGATAACGGATATAAAAAATAAAAATAAATTATAATTATAGAATCACCAATTTGCTCTGTAAGGTATTAATGGGTTTATTTTGCATATTTCTATTTGTAATCATTTATTTCGTTTGTAAATGACAAAATAAATATAATTTTAACTATTGTTCTGCGTGTTATTTATTATCATTAAATTAAACATTGTGGTGTCATATTTTCCAGCATCCCTGTGAGCCTACATAAGAGAATGGAGAATGGATGGATGTCATATATATTAGAATTATATAATATATCAGCCCATCAGCCACCTTGCTCTCTAAGATATCGGTCATCAAAAAATCCATATAGTTTGACCACAAATCTCCTAAACACACTAAACACAGACGTAATTTTGTAGGCCAACCCAAGTTAGTATTACCCTGGTTCCTTTTCTCTATTGGCTTTTGGATTACTCCAGAAAATAAGCTCTGTTACCAACAAAAGTTTATGAATATTACACATTTGAGTTAGAATAGTTTGCAAGAATACAATTATAAACACCGTGAGGCAGTAATAGAAGAATATATAGCTTGAGTACGTAGATGAGTTTTCCTGCTCGGCACGATGGCAACCTCTGTATAGTCCCATTTAGCCATTTGTTAGCAACCACCTTTTTCAAGACACAAAAGCTTAAAAAAGTAGGGTTTTACTGATGTATTTTATGACATACACGTCTTTCCAGGTTTGTACGTTTTTCTCAGTCAGTTTGACACATTTCTCCAAATTTAAGTCACTGCTCACAAAACAGTTAACACAGTGATCTGAACACTTTCTAATTGTCCTAAACAGATTGTAAGTTTTCATTCAATAAAAATTACAAATCACATGCATCATTTCGTCAAAACACTGTGCACAAAATTCTCAAATGTTTTCACAATAGTTCACACAGCCAACCAAAACTTTAATATATTTAGACAATTGCAACTTTGCGTATTAGTTTTACACAAATCACAAAAATGTACAATTTCTCCAAATGCAACAACTCTTTTATTGTTAAATTCTCAGTTGCACTTGGTATGTTTTCAATTAGCCCCAAATTAATATCTGCTGAGTGAGTACTAATGCTAATTTCCTAATTGTTTACACATTTATCTCAATTACAACAATTGTAAAAGGGGAAAAGGAAAAAGGCAAAACATAGGTACAAGAATGAGAAGGGGAAAAGAAAGAGGTGTAATATAAAGAGAGGTGGCGGAGTGGGTAGAGGGAGGGGTGTAATAGACAGAGGTAGAAGGAGATGAGAGGAGAAGACGACATGGTATAAGAGGAGGACAAGGAGCAAGAACAGTTTAGGAAGAGGGAAGAGTAGAGGGAGACAAGATGGGAAGATAGGATTGGAGGGGAATGATATAGTGGAAGAGAAGAAAATGTAAGAAGACATGAACAAAGGAAGAGGACTGCAGGGTGGAAAAGGAGGACGTAGAGGTAGAGGGTACATATGTTTTTAATCGAAATCCGAGCCACCCTGACCATGTTACATATCATGGTCTCTCCTTGAAAGAAGCTGGCCAGAGTGTTCAGCCAAACATAAACTGATCAACAGAGGGAAAACCAATATGTAACAATACCATTCTGGTTCTATGAGTCTAGCCTAGAGTCTTGTCCATTTCCAAGTATATTTCTAGTTCTTGTTCTTGTTCAAGAACATTCAGGTGGATGAACAAGACTATTTTCAATTGAACAGAACATGTCATTGTTGACATGGTGGTTCAGAACAACATCAACAACACCTCAAAGAAATTCAGCAAAGAATAATACAGGAAAATCAACTATTTCATAATATTCACCAATGCAGTCTTCACAACTGATCAATCACAATTGATCATCTTCTAAGAAGAAATGTCATCCGGATGAAGCAAGTAAAGAACTCAGATGGATTGAAGGAGTTGTGATTCCAGTTTGTTCAGGTATGTGCATGCCACACAATTACTGCACTTTTACTGTAAATACAAAGATATGCATTTCATGGGCATTATGTATCCATATACTATTACACTCTGGAAAAACTCAGGCGTCTCTATGCCTATAGTGCTGTGTTAAAGTGGGAACTCAAAGTTCGGCAACAGTTACAGTGTCAAGTTTACAGTCAATACCACTACTGTCAAACCACGGCGATATTGTACCTTCTGATCTTTTTACTCTAGAGGACTTTGGAGCTGGATAGCAGTGCAACTCATTATGAGCAGCTGTATGTTGATGAAGCTGGCTTCAATCTCAACAAACAAAAAAGGAGAAGAGAATAGAATCAGATTGGCCATCATGCCACAGTCAATGTCCCTGGACAATGAGGAGGCAACATCACAATGTGTGTCACAATTTCAACCACTGGATGTCTTTAGCCCATACAACACTAAAAGGCTCCTACATTTTTAAACCCCCTCAATGAAATCCTCTTACCACAGGTTAATCAGGAGCAAATGAAGCAGCATTTTGTAGTGTTTTTTGGGACAATGTCCAATTTCACCATTCAGCACTGGTGCAAGAGTTTCCCACATTTCAGGATGGTATTCCTTCCACCATATTCTCCTTCCATTAATCTAGCTGAGGAGTTCTTCTCCTCTTGAAAATGGAAAGTATATAATCGCAATCCTTAAAACCAAGCAAGTCGTCTTCAAGCAATGAAAGAGCCCTAGGGAAATGTTGAGGCAGAAGCTTGTCAAGTGTGGATTCAACATTCATGCTGTGTTTTTTCCCACAATGCATGACTTGTGAGAATATATGTTGTGATGTAGAGTAGATGAAATTCCCTGGCCCGATGTAATTGAGAGACATGATCAAAGTCAATTAATTCAGTGATTTCAGTACATGTATTATTTATTTATTTTTATATTTTTACTTATATAAATTAATTTTTGTAGGAAACTCATTGATATACAACTCATTAAAGAACGTCATGATAAACATTTTAATTCATGTCTGTATGTAGAGTTGAATATGTTATCAAATCAACAGAAAACACACTTTTAGTTTTGATGTTAGTATCTATTTTTAATAAATGCATTACTAGAATTTCTAAAATGCAGAGCTTCGTTATGTAGTACAACTGAAATGTTTGGCCAACATAAGAGAGTGTTTATACTGTGCTGTGTTAATTGCTTTGAAAGCAGTTACAATCATTGGGAGAAATGTGTCAAATCGACTGAGAAAAACTGTAAGGCTCTTTCCTGCAGCACTCTATTAAACACATCTGAACCAGCTAATAAAGACCTTCAGGATCACTAGAAACTTTAAGACAGGTGTGCTAGAGCAGGTTGGAGCTGGTGGTCCTCCAGAATGGACATCCCCTGTATTATATTCATATTGTAAATTCACTTTCACAAACATTGTTTTTTGACTGTGAAATGATCAGTAATCCACATTTCTGCCAGTTTTTGGTGTTTTCTCTACAGCCATGGCATCGGGTGGCATTGTTTAAAAAAATTTTACATTATTTTGAATAATTTGAGTTTTTCCATGGCAGCCTATTTTTGCACTATGATTGACTTCAGATTCAGTCACGCCTAAACAACATGTAAAAACAAAATGTGGTTGGACTCTTTCTGTCAAAACTCTTCTGTATAATAATTTGGAATAAAATAATAATATTCAAAAGTAGGTTGACAAACAAACCTAATTGTTATCCAATTATCCGGCCTCCAATTTTGACCATCATTGCTAATCTTACCATATATAAATTCCATCAGGTTGTCAATTTCGTCAAAATATACAAAATGCTGTTCCTCTTTTGGGTTCTACTGGAAACTGATGTGTGCAGGACATTTGAATGCACTCATAATTTGCATAGCCCAGGCAAAGGGCCTTACTGACGAAAGCACAACCAGTGTAGCGAAACGACATGTGAAATGACAAACAGGTGAATGAGTGAAAACATCACATTATGTCCTCCTTCCACTTTTAGGGATTTGTTGTTTTTTTCTACTTATTACATAACACAATATTTACATTTCTATATTTACACCAAATTACACAACAAACAGGTATTAAATAGGGAAAGAGGAAAAAAGTGTCAAACCAACATAAGAATGAGAGACACAAACCCCAGTGAGCCTCATGTATTTGTGTCAGACACCTCCTGTTGAGATCCTTCTGTTTTTCACTTCCCTTGTCCGCCAAAAATCCGCATGGAAAGAGAGGCATGTTACTGAGCCAATGTCAACCTTAGGTGTTCATGATTTATCTGTCTGTCCTTTGTGCGTCTCCTCTGTCATATTCCAAACATTTATTGTATTTCATTTTAGTGTATTACATGAGACGATTTTCATTATACAGCTTCATTATAAATTATACACGTTTAAGCACCTCGGTTCAAAATCCATTTCAGTTTAACAGTTTCAGGGTGGATAAAGTGGAATTTTCCACTCTACCTGGCAGGATGAGAAATTTTACCCTTAGTAAACATTACCCCCATTAAACAACACACAATGTCTAGCAATGCAAGGCATTTTTGCCTGGTAAAGGTTGCAACAGTAGAATGCTAATGTTTATCAGCAGCAGGATTTAATCCAAGAAAAGTCTGGGAACTCACATTCTATTCGCCCTAAACAGTTGCCCGGATTATATACTGTTCCCGGGGGAGCTTTGAAAATGTGTATCTTTTCAGATAATATTGCCTACAACCCTTTGCACAATGTAAAAAAAAAAAAGTGATGTTTGAACGTTACGTCAAGGGTTTCTATTTCTGCTCCTGGAGGGCCACCTTTCTATAGATATTTACCCTGTTTCTTGTGATTGTGAAGACCTTGATTATCTGGTTCAGGTGTGTTTGATTAGGGTTACAGCTAAACTCTGCAGGCCACATACATGTGTCGTCGCAAAATGGATTTAAATCCGATCTTCAATTCCCACGCTATATTTAAATTGAATGGAGTTCACGTCAACAAAATCAAAAGATAAGCGCTGCATTTTATTAATTATCAGCTCATTTCAAGATCAAAGACCGCAATAGGAGAGCGCTGGAATTCATCAGCTCTGGAAAGATAAGTTTGTCTTACTACTTTTAATGAAGATGATTGTGTGTTGACCGTCTGCGTATTACTTTGTTTAATTCGTGGCAGTTTGCGCGTCGGCTTGCTGAAGAGATGCTCAGCTACTCGTCCGCTGCGATGCGTTATGCATTAGCACAGTCATATCTGACTATAATGTCATATAGCCTATAACACACTCTCACACGTTTATTATTTTAACATTTTGGGAGGAGTAAAATTTACATATGTGGTTTCAACAACCAGATGCATTTACACTTGTCCAGTTTCGTCTGGAATGCGGCCCAGGCCACCTCCTGAAGTGGTTTGAGCGATCGGCTTAATATCCATCTGGAATGCGTTTCGGAGGGCATTTACACCTGCCTTTTCACGATCGGATAGCTATCAGATCAGAAAAAATGCATGAAGTGACCAGGTATAAACAGCCCCTTAGATTTATATACTTCTCCTCATCACCCGTGCATATAAATTGAGTTAAAATGTGTGGGTCTTGTTCAACAGATTTGACACAAAGCCAGTCAGACTATACACTACTAATGTTAAATGCCAAAAGAAAGCATGTATTTGTAGTATTTGCATGAGGCAATTCTTGCAGCTCAAACTAAGCCCAGAAATGTGATATTCTGAGCAATTAAAGGGCGCTTTGAGAGTGTGAATATCTGTGTGTATTTACCGTGAAATAAACTCCCTGCATCAAAACAACCCACATAAATGTTAAAGTGAAAGATCCTAAAATAATATGTCTATTGACAGAGAACAGAGCAATGCTGGCAGACTGAACCACAGTTTCAACCAAAAACTGATCCCAGGTCAGCTTTAGAGAGACTACAGTCTGACTGAGCTGTTAAACAACAGCAGTTATGTGAGAAATATCTAGGATCTTCAGGATGGAAATACTTGAGAATAAAGAATTTCTACGATTTATACCTTCAGTCTTACCTTTTTATCATCCTACAGCAACTGCAACCCATCTGGACAGTTGTGTAGAAAACCTGTGGAAAGGCAAAACAGGTTTAGTGTGTGGTTGTATGTATATATAATTGAATAAAGTGAATTAGAGATACCACGTAGACTATTGTGTGGATTGAAATACGCAAGTTACATTTATCAAAAAGGTATTTGAAGAATCCAGAGCTGCGCTGCTGAATCAGTTCTTAGGAGAGTGAACATGATTTCAACAAAGGGCTATTCAGTAACTGCTAATTCTTCACCTCAGCTGTTAGAACATGAGGACGTGATCACGGTTATATCTGTGTAAATAGACCTGCTGACAAAGAATAGGATAAAACCAGTGTGCCAACAATTGTGAACCACTGCAGACCATCTTTACAAGCGGATCCAGGTACATTTCGCTTGTGCACATCAACCAAATGAACCAAAACTTGGTTCACCTTCAAGAATACATACATTTTTTTTTTTAAACTTCACCCTTCAAAGACAGCCCACTCGATGTCAGATTCTGTTGATATGTTTACACAGACACAGGTGTGATCTTTCAGAAGAACTATCAATATCTGCCAGGCCGTAGGGACATTTTATTTGGTTTCATATTGACGTGGCATATGGAGTTAACTTGACATATGAAATTGTCAGGTATGTAGCTTCAGGACACAAGGACAGTCACACATGTGTTACTCCTCACAGTGGCAGGTCAAATAAAATGTTATTAATACATGCTCATTTTGTGAAAAGCAACAAAGATGGATTGACCTTTCCACGGCCTGTTGTGCCATTTCAGGCTTTGGCATTTCTTGCGCTCTTTTTTTGAGCAAGTAGCCTTGTAAATAATTGATAGCTCAGTCTGGGAAAAGATCCGTCTAATAGGACAAAGACACTCCCAGACTCGCTCTCTTTCTCCTGAGACAGAAAGCAACATGGAAAACAGGCACCTCACGTGTCCCAATGTGTTAGAGACCAACAAACATATAAAGCTAAGAGAGTAATGCAGGAGAATCCAACACTATTACATTGTGAAAACCATTTACATCAGTGTTATCTTGATATTATTGTTTTTGTAATTGTATGTGCTTTTGTCATTTTATTAGTTTATGCTTTTTAATATTTCTATTTAGTTTGAATTTATTTTTATTTCCATTTTAGAAATAGAGTGGGGGAATTATGACGTCAGAACCCGGAAGGGTAATTCGCCCCGGATTCCTTCGAGATTTTTCTATGGGGTTTTATAATGGGGGTTTTCGAATTAATGAGTAAAATAACGCCTGCGGTAAACATAACTTGACGATACGTTTACGTTTAGTACAATGTAAACTGCACTCACTCACAGCGCAAACGTTCTTATCTAGTTACTTATTAAAAACATACGTTTTCAAAAATGAACATAACTGCTTCAAAATTTTTGTTTTGGGTATGGATGTGTGGGTCCCACTTTATATTAAGTGGCCTTAACTACTATGTACTTACATCAAAAAATAAGTACAGTGTACTTATTGTGTTCATATTGTATTGCAAAACACTTTTGCTGCTATTGAGGTGGGAAACCGGTAAGGTTAGGAACAGGTTTGGTGGTTTGGGTAGGATTAAGGGTGGGTTAAGGTGTAAAGGATGGGTCAACAGTGTAATTATAAATGTAATTACAGAAATTAATTACAGATGTAATTACATGCAGGTATTTTTAAAATATAAGTACAATGTAAAAGCATGTATGTACACAATAAGTGCATTGTACCAAATTATTCATTTAAATGTAAGTACATAGTAGTTAAGCCCACTTGTGTGTAATTTACGTTGTAGAACAAAATGTAAAAGTATCGTCAAGTTATGTTTACCACTGGCTTTATTTTACCCGTAAATTGAAAAACCCCATTATAAAAACCCATAGGAAAATGTCGCGAAGGAATCTGTAGCGAATTACTCTTCCGGGTTCTGACGTCATAGTTCCCGCACTCTATTTCAGTACTTAATGTAAACTTGTTTCAGTTAGTTGGCAAGGCAACATGTCTCATTTTCGTATAGTTATTTTTTATGTAATATTTATGTTTTATTTTATTTCAGTTAGCCATGTTTTGTAATACTTTTAATTTTAGTTAACAGCACTTATTTACACAACATTTCCATTTAATTATGTCACATTTAAGGGTAAAAGCAGTAATCTGTACCAGAATCGAATGCAATTAAATGTTTGTAGTTTAGTATTAAGGAAGCAAGAATCACCTACTTCATTCACTCGTGGCATCACATGTGCTTGAAACTAAGACAAATAAAATAAAATTTAACAGGTATATCAAGTTAGGCAATATTTGTTGTACAGGTTTACTGACAAGCCAGCCACTGTGACAGAAAGGCAAATGGTTTAACAAGTGGAAAAATTCAAAACACACTGCACGTAGACTAGACATCAACATGCAACACTCTTCATTGTGAACGGAGTTGTTTTTTTGTATCTATATGATGTCTGTATGTGAAATAAATCAAGATGTATTGTCTTATTTGAGTAAAAAAAAAATATGTTTGAGAACAGAAGCCTTCTGTTGTTTTGATGTGACATTAATTAAATTTTAAATGCACTGTAATTCTATTTACTATATTACAAAGTTGCTCTATTTACAAAATTTGGAATATGTTTATACAAAAACTACCCTAAAACTTCACACTCACACTTCAAAGCTTTCAGGCCATTGCCAAGAAACTGGATGGAGTTTTGCTAGGTGATTAGCAGCCAGATGTGGTACGCAGCAGACACCTGCTTGACAGCAGGAGTATGACACGGGCACCTGGCAACCTCTTTGTCAGCTGCTAGAGATTATTGCATTTTACAGCAGTCAACATAGCACACAGTCTTCCTTTCCATAAATACAATGACAAATCAGTTTCTTGTGTAGTTAATCTGTAATGTGACAACACAATTAATATCAGAATAAAAGAAATCATGTTATATAGTAAGAAATTTATTTCTTATTAAGGGAATTTCTAATTGTTTGATTCTCTGAAGTCTGCGTTTGATGCATCCTTGATATCAAGAACACATCCGGGCACTTTCATGCATCCTCTGTACTTGTGTTCTTGAGTATTGGAATTGAACCTCGGCAGGTGTGGATAATGTAGTACGAGATCTTGTCAGAATGCAAGACCACTTAAGAACGCATATTGAGAAATGGCCATTTTGCATGTCTTCTTTGTCTGACGCTCCCATTTCAGGTCTTCTGCTGCCTTCACATGCTATTGTAATTATCTTAAATACAAGTTTTCTAGTTGGAAATTGGACATGAATGGCCTCTCTAGTCGTATTTGCAACTGGGAAACTCTGAGATAGTTTTGATACCTGAGTTTCCAAGTTGGGCGAGCCATAAACTTTAAATATGGCGGAGGAGAGAAACATAGCAGTAGCAGTAGTTTTATTCGTTTTTCTCACAACATCTACATTGCTTTCTCCTGCCATTACAGTCATGCATATTTAAGTATATAAATAACCATTTGTTGTGTAGTATGTATTGAACACAGTGAAAATAGCATTTATTTGATCAAAATGTAGGAATCGTCAGCCAGCTGAATTTCTTAGCGCTGTGAATGTTTATATGGTTACCAAATAATGGGACGCTACATTTTATTCAAACCCTGTTGGATATTGACTAATTATCTTCCAATATATACCTTTTGGCTTTAAGATTTCCCCAAGAAACAGGCAATAATGAATAGGCTGTCCACCATGATTTTTGTTCTTTCCGACAACAAAGCACTTGAACACGACAAACTCGTAATTACAACTTCAGAAGTGGAAAGTAGGAAGTTTCCGAAAGCACATGAAGGCATCATTAGAGTCTCTACTAATGAACTGATGACCTGAATCAGGTGTGTTTAAATAAGGAGACATGAAAAATGTGCAGGGGGCTACAGGAACATTGAGAACCACTGATTTAGTCCACTTAAATCCCAGACTAAATGACTGGAGAAGTCTGCCATATACTGTATCACTAGAGAAAAATCTGTGGTTTTATTTCAATTAAGGAAACTGTTTTTAGTTTTACATAAGAAAAGAAAAAAAAATAATGAAAGAAGTAAATTACTGCTAGCAACTTGGCTGAAAATCTATTTAGAAAATTCTAAACAACATTTTTTGAAATCGTAGCTATGTGAATAGAGAAAACAGAAAAAGGGAAAACTTCAACACCCATAATTAGGGATGCAACGATACAATTTTTTCAGATTCGATCCGATCCAGAAAATTCTGAGTATCGGCTGATTCTGATCCGATCCGATCCGATACCAGCGCAGTTTTTTTTTAATCAATGTAGAATTTCTATACTTCTCTGTGTTGACCTGTTTATCACTCTTTTGTGTGTTAAACACAAACTTCTAAATATAGACAACTTCATTTTAATGAAAAAATAACAAATTAACAAATATATAATCATAATCTATGACAAAAAATACTATTATAAACTAGGTTAGTGGATAATTTAGCAGCAACTTTTATTCTAGAAAAATCTTGAGTGCACAATTGTATAAAATCGAAACATTTAGTGAAATAACATTATTTAGTGTGGAACAAATAAAAGTGAATATCTGGTAAAATGTTACACATTGCTCTTTGTATTGTTGTAAAATACATTAATGAAAACAAGTAAATGTATTAATATATAAATATAAACATTTAAAAGACATTTCTTTTAAATGTATAACAGTAATGAAGGCAGTAACATATATGATAGATAGGAGTCCTATCTATCATATGTTGCTGCCTCCATTACTGTGCTATACATTAGATTAATAACAGCCTTTCTTCTATAATAGGACAGAACAAGAAACGCTATAAATAATCTTTCATTGCGCAAAAGTATAATAATATGAAAAGCTCCAATACAGAGTGGCACAAAGCACTTATCCGAACGCGACACGCAGTTTGAACGCTGAATGGAGGATGACACAGCCGCAGTGGAGAGAAGAGTTTAAGTCGACTTGAATTTAACGACTTAAATATTCATCTGTACCTCACGTTAAACTATGGAACGGCTTCAGAACACTTGGACTTTGACTT